CGGGGCCGGCGGTTTACTCTGGATGATTGTGTGCACATCCCGAGTAATCTCCAGCCGCCCCTGAAACACACCATCCTTCTCAAAGTAGATCATCCTGGCTGCTGCACGGATCTGGTCGTTCCACTCACGGTTCTCGCTGGGCTCCATCACCGTGAGTGTTCGCCAGAGGATGATCATTTGAGTGGGCGGATTAGTCTGGGTTTCCGCCCACTTGTTCATGGCCTTGAGGAGGACTCGCACCGGGAGCTCCAACTTGCACTGGAACTGAGGCGAAGCCGGCGTGGCACGGATGTGAAATCCTTTGGCCACCGTCTGCCCGTCCTTCCAGAGCGGTGTACCCCCTGAGCCTCCAAACGCGGCCATGAACTCCTTGCGTAGGTCCCAGGATTTGAAATACAGTGTGGTAACTGTACTCCACTTGCCAGTGCCGGCTGGCGGTGTACTCGGGTCAGTTTGCAAGGCCCCGAGATAGTAATACTCGGCAGAGTCAGAGGCGTTGTAGCTGCGCTGCTGCAGGAAGTGACGCACGTAGGTGACCTGTCCCAAAGCCAGTTGATCATGTACAGGCGCTCTCCAGGCGCCATGCTTTGATCCCAGCCGCTGAGAATAACCATCAGGCCGCACTCGCGCTTCTGCTGCGCCCTGTTCTCAGAAGCAAGCCAGCGTAGGCCTTCCTGGTTCTGCGCGATGCGGTCGTCGAGCGTTTTAACCACGTTTTCCACTTGGCTGATATAGTGGAAAAGCTCCGGGCGGATTACCCCATGGTGGTAGGCCCGCACCGTCTGTAAAACGTCCGCGCGCGTGGAAACCGTTCCGGAGAGCCACGATCGCACTGCCGCTGGGTCGTTGATATCCACCCCCAGCTGTGCTGCTGCCAGTGAGTATGCCGTGGACTCCTGCATGGGCATGGGCTGGAAAAGGTTAGCTCCCTGCCCTGCATCTGGCGGGGTAGCAAAAGGATCCGGTCCCATATCCTCCATTGTAGCATCCGACTCTGGCACCTGCGGTGTACCCAGCATAGAGCCCGAGGCTGACGGGGCTTTGCGCTTGTCCTGCCTGTGCTGAAACCAAAGCTGCTGGTTGGCGGTGTACACCGGTTGGCTCGTAATATTCTGCTGCAAACCCAGTTGCTGATGGGCTTGCGTGAGCTCTCTGGCCAGATTGGAAGGCGGGTTAGCCGGAGCTTCTCCGCCCTTTCCTGCCATTGCCGATCGAGGCAGGCCTTCCTGTGAAACCCGTGGCGGGGTACTCCCTTGAGGAGCCGCCAACAAAACTTTCAGAAACAACAAACTCTGCAAAAACCTTCCGAAGTGAAACCTGTAAGCTGCCATGAAAGCCATAACAACCAACCATGCACATGCGCCGCTGAAAGCCGATACGCCTTTTGGCAAATTTGGGATCGACTCAATCGGAGGTTTCGCTTTCATGACGGACCCATTCGCTGCCGCCATCGCTGTGATCAGTGTGACAACCGCTGCTGTCACCACAGTCATCATACTTTTCAGGAGCAGAGGCACGATTGGTACGGGCCACATAAATGCTTCATGCACGACGAAGATGGTTACCAGCACTTGTGAGAGCACCGCCCGACAGGTTAACTCGACGCCAGGTTGAGTGAAAGAGCTTGCACCCTGCCACCGGTCTTGTTCCAGGTTGCTGACTACTTGACCCCTCGAAAGAGGGGTGTGTGTGTGTGTGTGTACACCCTGATTCTAAGCTAAGGGCTTGTGGCATTTCATTTTATTTCAATTTTGCAGCAGGGGGCACAGGCCCATGGTGGTACCTGTGCCAACGAAGCTATCCACTATGGGGGAAGCGGAGTCTGATCAACTCCGTGTACCTGCATTTCAATCGTATGGCATCAGGCTAAGCCGAGAACCTGATCTTCAGCGTTTTCGGTGTGCATGTTGTTCGTAGGTTTGAAGCCTCGGCAGGTTACTTTGCTTAGGTTACCAGATCTTCAGGTGAGCATTGACCAGAAGATAGAAAGTGGCAGAAGCTGACTATCCTAAATTTACCATTCCCTGTGTGTGTGTGTGTTCACCTTCTCATAGCAAAGAGTTTTTTAGAAGGCAACGTATGGGGACAGTGGATGTGATATGGGCTCAGGACGCTCAACCCACGTACCTGCAAAGGGCGAAGCTGAGAACCAAAGTAAGAGTTGCAAGTTGTAAGTATGTGCTTTAGGGGTGCCTCTAACAGCACTGTAACTGGCATGCTCCCTTTACAGGAGAAAGATTTTTAGAATGGTATGTAATTTGAAGAGTTATTTGGGGCTTACTGAACACTTATTTCTGGGGCTGTGTCTCTGTGTCTCTGTGTCTCCGTGTCTCTGTGTCTCTGTGTCTCGGTTTTTCTGTGTCTCTGTGTCTCTATGTCTCTGTGACTCTGTGTCTCTGTGTCTCTGTGTCTCTGTGCCTCTGTCTGCGTCCGTGTCTGTGTCTGTCTGCGTGTGTGTCTGCACGCGTGCAAGTACTTGGCGAGGCTTGAGCCAAGCATCCGCCTTGCGTTGCGCCACCTGAGCGAATCCATGAAAGGCAGCATCACATCAACGAAAGCATCACAAGCACGAATCGCTGGCCTGGCCTGGGTGTTTTGCAGCAGTTTCTGCCAGTCGCACTGTCGCCCTCCAGAACCCTTGGCCTTCGCCAGCCTCCGAGCCAGTACCCGACAGCGCCGTGCCAAATCCCAGCCTTACGATTACAGGCTGGGCCACCAGCCCCGATCGCAGGATATCCGGTGCGGTCCATGCGATGAACATTTGTACGCCCTGGCTGCGCAAGCCTACCCTGAGCACGCGGCGGGCATCGCGCGGAAGTAGCGCCGATGCACTCGTCCCCTCCCCGGCCTCGGGGAGTAGCGGCGTAGCGCACATCAGCGCACCGCAAAAAGTGCCCAGTCCCCCAGTGCCTCTTGTGAGGAAGGCATGTCCAGTGTCAGGTCGACAGCTATGCGAACCTCACACCGAAAAAATCAACACCGTTGGTGACCAGAGGCAGAGACAGTCCAGGCGGCACTCAGTGGTTTGTCTTCACCCTCAGCCAGACCAGCTGCTGCCACCTTACGGGCCACTCGCCCCACAATAGCAGGAAGCCCTAGTGCAGGCCTCGATGGCCACGAGCAGACCCTCGCAGCGCGCTGCCTCTTTGGCCAACTCCTCAGATTCTGCTTTCTGACTACATGCTGATCTTCCGAGGAAAGGTGACACACTCTTCCTGCCAGGTCTCTGCGTACCACCGGCCACGCTGAGAGGGACAGAGTGTGCAAGATAGCAGCAGCCTTAAGCGTCGGACTTTGGAGGCTTGCAGCTCTTTGTCATGACCTTTGTTGCACGCAGCAAGTCGGTGCCCGTCGCCCGTCGATGCCCCAAATCTGTCAGCTCAGTTTTTTGAGGACCAGACCCACTGCTGGCGAATGGAGAACGGCATGATGCAAGGCCTGTCATAAGACCATAAGACAGCAAGACCTGAGATCAGAACAAAATCCGAGAGCTCGAGCCTCGGCATAACACCATGCTGCTGTGAAGCGCCGCCGGAATGGATCCCGGAATTTGGCAGCTTCGAACTCATTGGAGTGCACTGCCTGCAGGGCTCGCTCTAAGCCTTCTTCGGCCATCTTGGCGTTCGAATCGGCATGATCCAAGGATGGGCGCATCTCCTGGACCGGAAGCTGCAGCAAGCTGAGTTCGACTGAACTTCCACGCCTCGAGCCCCAAGCCTGAAATTTCTCCATGCCGCAGACCAGACGGCGTGCTTCCACGAAAGCATCCAGCGATGCACGGTCAGCGAAGAGTGGTGGACAAGCGTGGTCCGGCTGGAAGGAGAAGTCTGGCCAGCGGCTTGAGAAGACGACGTAGGACGAGTCGGCGGCCCCACAGGTCTCCAACCGGAAAACCTCTCCGAGAACGACGAGAGCCCGACGGCCCAAGGACGGCGCTAAGCAAACCCAGCGGCCCATCTCCAGGGACCTTGCCACGAGCTGTGCCTGCAGAAAAAAGCAAGGGAGCGACGTGTACGTGCGCGGGTGTTTGTATCATCCGCCGACCCCTGCTGGGCGGCACCCAGACAGAAGCTGTGCTTTCGAGTTTGCTTTATATAACTTAATACACTGTCACCTGGGTCAAGCTTGGAATTTAATGGGACTCCAACCAACCCCTCCCCAGCCCTGCTGGGCCCGCGGAACCCTCATCCGCACCTTTCAGCCCAAGCTTGGGCTCGTTTTGGCTGGTTTTCAGTTGTCGGACAGTAATTGAATTGGACCCCAAATGCATGCCCAACCCCTCTGCGCCCACCGGCCCTCCTTTGGACTTGTTTTGGGTGGTCTTTTACCAGTAGTAGAGTAATTTGATTGGACCCCAATGCATGCCCAACCCATCCTTCATCGGCACACTTTGGCCCTCGTTTGGGCTCGTTTGGCTCGTTTTCAAGAGTGGAGTGAATTGATTGGACCCCAATGCATGCCCAACCCCACCCTAGCCCTACTGCGCCCACCGGAACGCGCAGGCCCACAGCTGATGTTGGAGCTGAATATGAAAACATGCGCGGACACGTGCCAAAAGAGAAGGAAAGACCAACTGACACAGAATCTTGGAAGACACGTAGTCATAATCACAAGTATAACAACCGACACGTGCTTCAAACAAGGCCCAACGTCTAGAACAGCACTTGCGCACAAGCAGATGCATGCATGCACGAACGCGCGCATGCAGGCATGCATGTATATGCAGGGAGGGAGGGAGGGATGGATGGATGGACTTGCCTTAAACTTCCTGAAAATTAAACGTTATTAAATCTGTTCGAGGCCTCTGTGGTGGCCTCCGATGGACGGGTCGTTTGCAGCAGTCGCTGTTGCTTGGCTGCTTCGCACAGTCTGGAGACCAGCTTGCTTTTGGGGCTGCGTCGTCCAAGGCCGTGCAGGTCGCTAATGCCCAAACCTTTGCCCATTCGACGAAGTTCTGCTGCAGGCAGCGCGCTCAATAGCAGTTTGCCATAGTTGTCCTGTGGCGGACAGGACAATGCGAAAAGCACGTGGCAATGCATCGACTTTGCAAGCACTCCTCACTGGCCATCGCTTCGGGGATCTGTCGGTTTAACAAGGAAGCGGCCGTCTCCGCGGATGTATCGAGCAACCACGGCATGGGAGACTCTTCTGGCTCTGTCTTGGTCATGTCGGGGAGTTGGCTGAGCAGGGTGGCCCAACCTCCGCTGCCAGTCTCGCTTTGGCCGCATTCTGGCAAGCTGGAAGCCTTGGCTTCACTGAGATCTACCACAGCAGCGGCGACGTCCTCGCTGCTCAATTCTCGATACCTGGTGCAAGAGCTGCCACGTGACCATTGGCTCGGTGCAGAACTGCGCAGACACATACACATGCTCACGCTCACTAAAGCCCACCTGGATCCGAGGCCTTCCAGTGCCACCCACTGTGGCCACTTTCTGCTCAGCAACCGAGCGAATAGTTGCTGTGCGCGCAGCGGAAGGGACCTTGGACGTGGGGAAAGCCACAGCCACCCTTTCTCTATTGATGTTGATCCTTCCCTCTTAGCCTCGAAGATCGCTAAGAGTCCGGGAGGCTCAAAGCGCCTCAATGCAGCGCGCTCGGCGCATGACAAGAGCCGGCCATAGCGGGGCAGCATCTGGGCGACCAAGCGGCGCCTGAGTGAAAAAAAGGCCGGTACCTGAACTGAGACAAGGGCCCGGCTGCAATTCAGTGCGGAAGAGCTGCAGGTCGCGCCTTAGGAGGCTCAGCAAGTTCAGTATCCCCAACAGCAGAACGGCTTTTGTATGCTTTTGTCGCGCTCGCGCTGTGGGACAACATGCCGAAACAGTTTATCGGTTTCACCCAAAACCTGCCCCCCAGAAACCGCTGCTTCACCCGCGCGCTTGAAACTCCCGGAACCTCCCCGAACCCGGTCCTGAACTTGGGCGAGCTCAGCCAAGTGACAAGGTGTAGCCTTCAAAGTCCGAAGTCTCTTGGGCAGGAATGCCGACAGCCTACTTGAAAGCACACGGTTTTCGGCTGAGAGGGGCAGTGGGATTCGTGGGACTCCCCGCATCGCCTCTGGATCCTCGTCGGACCGGATACTCTTCTCCGAGGTAGCGAGTCCCGACGTCGACGTGCGCGAAGGCCCAGGCTCTGCAGGCCGAGGTCGAGCTTGCGCTTGGAGTCTCGTCTGGCTGGTCTGGCTCTGAGCGACGCTTGGCCTGACCAGACTCTGACAAGCGTCGCTTCAAAGATACTTAGCCATACTCATAGAATAAGCTTGGTGGCATGATGCATGGTCGGAGTGCGAGAGCTTTCTCTGGAATGTCCTAGCACAGAGCACAGCGACAAAACGCAATCACCTGCGGGCCCAAATTTGGGAGCGAATGAGGCCTGGGCATCGCCACATCTGCGACGCTTGACAGGCGTCTCACCTGTACGATCGGGAACTACTGCCAGCCGAAGTTGTATCAAACCAAGCGATGCATGGATGCCCACAAGAAAGATCGCAACCGGAAGCCTTGCCTGCTTCTTCATCCGAATCTGCAACATATACCCAATCACACGCCATGACGGCCAGAAACTCCGAGCCATGGCAAAAACATGGCAAGACCGGGCAAGAACGTTCTGTGGTTCTGGCCGCTACTATCCTACCCTGCAACACTGGGGCATGTCATGTCATCTTAGATGGGCCAGGCTCGTTTTGAGTGCTAGACTCTCTTGCTTAACAGTCACCATTTAGAGCCGAAATCAGGCAAAGCAAGCACCTTCGCACCTTTTGGATTTGACGAAACGGAGAACTTCACACTTCAGGCTCGCGGCCCAGGTTGCAGCTCTGCAGCTTCGCTCGATCCCCAAGAAGCGCTTCTGTTGGGCAGGCTGACGCGATGGTGAAACTGAGAACGAAGCCAGTTAGGCCTTGTACTGCTCTGCCAGCAGCTTGACCAATGCGCTCTCCCCGTCTTCGAAGAAGAATGACGTCCAGCCTGCGGAATACAAGTCTTCGAGCTGGTGACACTAGGGCGAGTTTACAGCGGCTGATTGCTCGAAGTTTGGATTGCAGTCATGGCTGACTGGTCAACATCGGTTGCAGATTTGGCTTGGCCAACAGGCCTCAATGACTGCAGCTCATCTGTCAAGCGCAGATATGTATAGATGTGGGTGTGTATGTGTGTATATATATATATATATATATATATTTTATTTATCTATTTGTCTATTGGTTTATTGATTTATAGATGTTTTGTTTACGTATTTTTATGTGTTTATAGTGCGTATTATAAATGATACTACATTTAAACACACATGAAACACACATATACAAATTAGACACATACATATATCCAGATCATATTTCCATATACATAAGGATTTTCCCACCCGCCCAGACTGCTTCTGGCCCCCTCTTGTGTTCCTTACTTTTCCGTATCCTCCGCCACCCTCTGGGCAAGGACAACCCCAACCGCTTTCGCCCCCAATCGCCAACCCCGCGGGCGGGGAGAATCGGGCTGGAAACACGTTCTGACGAAGAGAAGGTCAGCGGAAAGTCAGCTCGTCGCCTGGCTCACAAAGGATGGAGGATGCGGATGCGGGGGCGGGGGGCATCGCATGAAGCCCGAAGCACGGGGCCTTTTCACGATAAGGAGCGTAGAACCGTAAACAAGTATGATGGGGGCAATGACACAGCGCATGTCCGGCAGGATGCTCCGGAGCGGTTCAGGTTTATAGGCTCGTGCTCCTGCTTGTCATCCGGACAACTTTGGATCTCGACGGTCCAAGTGACTTTCCTTCCCTACCCCCCACTCTGTGTCAGCGTATATTTCGGCGGCTGTCTCTGTCTTTCTTTCGCCAAGCCAGGCTCCGGTATGGGAACCCTAGGGCCCCCTGGCCCGAAGGCTTCCCCCCTCAAGGCGCGCGTCTCTGTGTCTGAGTGGCCCCTTCCGGGGAGGACACCATGTTCCCCTGACTGTCACCACTTGTACCCCGAAAAGAACACCCCTCCTAAACCGTACCAGATAACCGTGCGTTTGTGCCAGTCAGGCATCCACGTGTCCGAAAACAAGTCAGTAAGGCATCGCGGCCCCCACGAGAAGCCTCAGAAAACAAGGGGAGCAAAAAACAAATGCCGGCACGAATTGCCTCATCCCCGCTATACAACGGCAAAGGTACTTAACTGTGTCTCTACGACGGAAAAGAGGGCTCAGTTAGCGTCGTCTCTTTACGACGGAAAAGAACCAGGAAAGAAAGCACTGGGCTGTCACATCTATGTTACAAGTTGCACTAAGTCCCCGGCAAAGGAACTTTGTCGGATTGTGTAGCGGGGTTAACTACCCAGCCGAACCAACCACCCGCAACAACAGAACCTAACAGGGCTTGGCATAACAAGACTTCCCCCGCAACAAGAAGCATCGGCATTAGGTCATGCATGTGAATTGTCCCCCGTACTCACTGGGCATGGACGCCCTGCATCGGGCATCACATTGTCTGCAATACCGCCTTTTCCATTCCAGCTTGCTCTCCGCTTTTCTCATCTTGCTGCCTCGGCAAAGAGTGAGGATCACGAGTTCGCCGTCAAGGAGACGCTCAACCTTGTAGATGTTGGCCTCCCCCTTCCAGTGGCAATGAAGGTTGAGATCGCTGTGGCCCGGACTTGCCAGGTACCGAGAGGATGGCTCAGGATGCCTTCAGACCCCTGGCTAAGCTTGCGTTCCCCCGAAGTGCTGGGGAGTCGGCGGTGAGGTCACAGGCCACCGCTACCGCTCAAGCTTTCGGACTGGTCGAACTCGTCGATGTCGATGAAGGAGCCAAAATGGCTACGGGCTTGCTTGCTTGCTGACGGGTATGAGGGCCGAAACCCCCTGGCCCGAAGGCCTACCCGCACAACATCTGTCAAGTCTGAGCTGCCCCCTTCCAGGTTTGGGAGTGAGTCCGTTCCCCCGTCTCTGCCTGTGTAACCCCGTACCTTGCGCAACTGCACTGCCTTGAACTTCCCACCCCCACCCTGAACCTGATATTGGCTTGGAGGTGCTCTCCGCTCTTCGTTCCTGCTTGGGCTACAACTTACAGCAACGGCTCGCATGGCATACCATACTTGGGCAACAACTAACAGCAACGGTTCCGCGTGGCATACTCTACTATGCAGTCAGCTGTTGGGAGCGGATATGTTTGGCCTCAGTGGGGTGCTGTACACTGCATAGCCCCGGGCTCCCCGACTACTCCCCGTGGCTTAGCCCCCGTCGTCCTGGTCTGGGGCTCTGGTTGGTGAAACTGCGTCGGCGTTCACCCCATTCAGGCGTCGGGCACTGGCCGCCGCTTTACGTTGGTCTCTTCTCCCCCTTCGTCATGGCCGCAGGAGTCCCGCCGTCTCATGTGCATGGGTGACCTCCCCCCGGTGCTGTGTCGTCCATTGACCCAGCTCTTGCTGGGCGTGGTTGACTTGCGCCAGCACTTTCGAACCGCACCAGTTGTTTGGGGGCTCGTGTCCCCCCCCTCGCTGTAGTCCTATGACGTCTGCCGAGCAGTTCCACCCCCCCCTCTGTGTGGGTACTCCAGACGTTCCTTCCGGTCTGGCCCGTCAGGCGATCAGTGCATGTGTGTAGCTGCTGCATCTTCCGCCCAGTGTTTCGCTGCCACAACTTGGCCCCAGCAAGAGGGCTGCGCCTGCCTGGACGAGTTCCAGCACCTCCAAGAGGTGGGGCTCGCTGCAGCTTCGTCATGACCCCCGCCACCAGGGCTGCTATTTGGATGTCGAGCTGGAGGCTGGTGAGTGCTGCTGCCTGGGTGGGTGTGGACCCGGCATTTGCCGGGCGCATGCATTGTGTTGGGGCGCTGGGAGCCGTGCAAAGTCACCTCAAACCCTCGCAGCATTTGCAGGAGCCCGGACTCATCTCCATACCTGGCCGCCTGGTGGGCCTGGTGCTGGGTGGGCACAGTTCCCCCCCTGCGGCCCCCAACAAAAAAAAGGTGTGATGGCTTTTGGACGTTGTGAAGATCGTCTCTTACAGTGCCGGCGTCCCCCCTGTCCAGAAGCCTCCCCAGAGCCTCTCCCCCTCATTGGGTCAAGGAGGAGGTGGAGCTGGGTCAGCTCTACCTCGATGTTCGTATAGCCCCCGCGCTCTCCCCCACTAGCATGACGAATTGCTGTGGTTGCCGTGTTCTGGTTCCGCCGTGCCCTGTCACGGCCTGTGCGTTGCGGGAGCCCTCGGTCGTGGTGTGCCACCTGGGCAGCATTCCCCAGCCACTGCATTGGCTCACTTCTTTGCCCGGATCGCGGCTTGGCGAACTCTCTTGCGAAATCCTGCTAAATGCTGTAAGGTAGCGAAGGTGCAGGTATGTGTCTCCGCAGGAGCTGCCTCTCCCTCGCCCCAGCCGTCGTTGCAGTGGGACTTGGCTGTTGCAGGGGATAGCTTGGGAGGCTCGTTGGGCGCGGCTGCTTCGTCTTCAGCAGTAGTGTTGCCACGAGCTTGCTGCGCTGGTGCCGGTCCCTTTGGGTCAGGTCGTCGTCGATGACAACGCATGGGAGTCTCACGTTGTCGCGGCCCTTCCTTCGTGCTGCCCGTGCTGGAAGGCGATCTTCCCGGCGAGGTGGGCCATCGCCGCCCGAAGGCCAGGTTCAAAATCAGGTACTTGTACATCAGGATCGTGTACTCGGCGTCCCCTCCATCACGGTGGTTGCCGCCGGTCATCTCCCGTAGCGAATTTGCCCCCGCGCTGCCTATCGTCACGAGGAGAGGCGTGGGTAAAGCTTGTTCGGGCTGAAAGCTTGGCGCTGTCATGGCTTCGGCGGCGCGAAAAGTCATGGTCACGGCGCAGTCAGTCATGGTCGTGGGTCATGGTCATGGTCATGGTCGTGAGCATGGACATGGACTAATCAACGTAAATGGCACAGCGTAAAATGGCATGTCATGAACAGGTCCCTGGTGCTTCTCTCTCTGCTTTCTGCTCCCCACTGCCATTCCATGGTGCGCCATTGGAACATGTTCTCGTAGGGGGCAGTCCCTGCGAGCAATGTGTCCGTGGATGTCCCACACTGTTTGCAGCACGAAGGTGCTCCATCTCCCCCCTTGCGGTTTTCCGCTAGGGCCAGCCTTGAGTGCCTGAGCGTGCGCAGGTTCCACTGGAGCCATTCCTCCCCGGCGCATTTCTGGTGACCGATGGCTCTGAAGGAGCTGTAGCTGCACCGAATTCACCCCCTTCAGCAGGAGCCTCATTGACGGGCCATGCCGGGCAAATCCCCTCAGTGCCGCCGGTCTGACCAGCATCAGCATCGTCCACAGCTTCTCATCCAGAGCGGTCTTCCCGCGCAGGATCTTTTTTTTCGCGTAGAAAGCCTCCCTCGCCCTTTCGCTGGCCCCTCCCAAAAGGATGGCGGTCACTTGCTCGAAGCAGATGGGCGCCCCGAGCACTTGCATCACGGCCTTGGGGCCTTCTACTTACGCGGTTCCGCTCGGGGTCCGGCAGGTTGGAGATGATCTGCGTCTTCTTGGCGTTCAGGATCAGCCCCTTCTTGAACAGTTTTGCTTCGAGCAGCCGTAGGGCTTGTTCCAACCACTTCCTGTTATGACTCCACAGGTACGTGTCGTCCATGAAACCTGCCCTCGGTGGAAGCTTGGGGTCGCCCCCGTCCCTGCTGGTCCCCTTCACCTCGTCGATGGTCTTCCCGGTGAATGCACTGAAGACGACGGGGCTGTCTGGCCCTGCAGAGCACCACCGTCATAGACCTGGCTCGGATGAGGGTGAGCCAGCGCATCGCCTCCCATGGCTGTCCACCCCTTTTGCCCACGTGCTCGGATCCAGGTGAGCTGTGCCCTTGTCAGACGTCTCACTGCGAAGATCAGCTCGATCGCTTGGGACGCTGGCTTGGCCCACTGGGCTCGCCCCAGTACGTTTAGGGCTGCTCTCCCCCGGCGCAGCAACAACTGAGACAGCCACTTGAGGAGTGCGCTGGAAAGGGCCACTCCTGGGTGGTTTTGTTTGGGCAGCAAGACCGTGAGCCCCTTTTCCATATGGGGCGGGATTCTCCCCGTGCCAGGCGCATCGTTGAGAACTGCCCGTGCACGTCCACATCAACTTGGAGTTCCCGGATCATGTCCTTCGCTTTCTGCAGGGTCTCTTCTCTGGCTTGGTCATCCCCCTATGATGAGGGCCGGCCTGCCGTTGCCCCCTTCGTCCTCAAGGAAGCATCCCTTCCGAGGCTGTGTCTGGTCCCCCTGGCTCAATCGTTTGGAGGCGGGCCTCAAGACCCTGTTCGCGAGCGCTTGGGTCTCCCCTGCCACCGCCTCCAGTTGCTCCCCCTGTCGCCTGTGCCCACCAGCTCAGGCTCCTGCAACATCTCCGCTGCCTCCCCTAGTTTCTTGTCGAGCACCGCCTCGATATCGTCGACTCTCGCGTTCACCTGCGTCATGGCCCTCCCGATCTCCCCCGTCAGCAACTCGGAGCTGGTGGTCCTGCTGATCGCCTCCATCGTCACGGCCACGGTGTCACTCTGCCCGGCCTCTTGGAAATCGGCTCTGACGCGCTTGGGCGGAAATCCGCCCGGAGGCAAGCGCTCCACTTGTCCTGGCAGCTCGGGTTGCAGGTTCAGTAGGTCAATGGACCCCCCTCCTTGTGCTGCCCACTCTGCTTGGGAGGATGGTGAGCTGTTGGGCGTGGTGCTGGGGCACGACGCCCCTGGCGACACGGCGCTCCCTCCTGCTCCGAACATATATGTTGAATCTGGACTCTGCCCCCCCTCCACCGTGCGTAGGCTCGCCGAATGCAGTCAGGTAGCTGTTCAGAAAATCCCGAAGGTCCTCGGCGGCAGCGGTCACCTTCCTGGTCCGTTAAGACTCGGGCGCCCGGTTGGAGGTGCTGTGGGGGCGGAAAGCAAGAAAGAGCGGAGACAAGAGAAGAGCAGGCGGAGGCCCCCACAGCGTCTTGAACCACTCACGGTTTGAGCCTGAATGGCTACAGGCTCATTCTTTCTTTTTTTCTGCCGGGCATAAGGGTCGCGGTGCGACCCACAGGCCATCGGCCCGCCCGACCACCCTCTGGACTATGGAGTGGTCGGCTTCTGGGGTATTCCAGAGCTACGGGCTCTCTGTCTTTCGCCAGGGTTATGGTGACGGGCTTTCCCCCCTCACCGCGAACTGGTGCGCCCCCGACTGTTGCGGGTGCCAAGGGGCCGACTGCAGACAAAGGCCATCGACGCGGCTGGAGAAAAAGCTCTCATTGGCGGAAGTCCCCGATATTCTGAAAGACAGCGAAGACGAGCAGAGGGTCCCCCCGCCAACTGAGACAAGTGCAACCGTCCTGAGAAGCTCTCTCTCTCTCCCTCTTTCTCTCTTTACCGCTGCTGGCTGATGTCTAAACGGCAGCCTATCTCTTCAATGAGACTGGCTTTGACGTTTCCTCGTCGACCGATGTGTTCCAGTTCGTTCGACAAGACAACAAAATGCTCGTCCTTCCTTCTGGCTCATGCGCAAGAAACCCGTCGAAACTCCATGCAGCAATTTGCGTATTTGCGTAGTTCTATAAGGGTCTTTGCACCTCTGACGCACAACAACCTGCTTCGATGCAATCAAACTGTACTACCGCACCCTCCTGGCACCCGGAGTTTGGACCCTGAAGCCCAAATGCCTGTCCCAACGGCTTCATGTCCAAAGCCTGCAAGTTGTCAACTCTGAGACGTACAGCCGGATGGAAGTCGTGCTGCAGGAAAGTCTGACATCCTATGGTGCATGCTAAGCCAAGCTGCCTTTGAAGTGAATTTTCACGGCGGAATCCGTCATGTCACCTGAGCAGCTTGTCTCCTATGAGGAAACGCTCCGGCACAAAGAGATTAAGCCCGGTGCCTTGAAAACAAAAGCCAGAGCAGCCACGCCTCGGATATCCGGCGGAAAGCGCAAAGTCGAAAAGTGGCATTGGATGAACGTGTTGCGCGAAAAAACGGCTACCCCGAAAGACAAAGTTTCGAAATCCACAAGAGCCAGAAAAAATCCAAAAGTACAGCAGAAGCTAAAGAAAGTCACAGTCATAAAACTGCGAAAGGTCTGAGTACAGGGAAAGGCGAAAAGTCGAAGAGCCAAAGAGTCCACATGTCGAAATACTGAAAACTGTTGAAAAAAGAAAACCTAAGACCACCGCGAAAGGCGAAGCCTGATCCGAAAACCCAGCCAGAACATCACCACAAAGGATTCAAAATTCAATCAAATTAGATGTGCCATGTGCCCAGACGTGACCCATGCCTGTGTCGTGTCTTGTTTTGGTGCTTTGGGAACGGATTGTTCGAAAAAGCATTGGAAGCTCCCACTAACGGTCCCCAAAGGAAAGTACCAAAATGCACCCGGCGTCCGTTTCAGTTTTTGTTTACGATGCTTTGAATTCGGCTTTTAAAGGGTTCTTGGCCGGTTCCCACAGACGAGTCGATTAACCGCCGCAAGGCATGTCAAGGCGCGAAACTTCCTCGTGCTTTCAGTGATTGTTGGTAACGAAGTACATGCGACAATGCTACGAAAAGGACAAGGTAGCGCGAACGTCAACCTCAACGAAATGTTGGCAAGCTCTACTCACTAGATCCCGCCTACACAAGCAGCACTCACTGCCTTTCACAAGCTCACAATGAAAGACGCTTGCAAAGACGCTTACGTCACCAGTACGAGTCTCGGCCCTCTGTTCACTCCCGATTTTCGCCTTACCGACAAAGTATGCCAGTATGCTTGCTCCATATATTGCAAGCCCACTCTTAATGAGGGGTATCTTCCTGCAAGAAGAACCTTTCCGCCCGGTAAACATTTCGAGCTTGCACATATGTGACTTCTCTTGCTTCCACACTACATTGCAAGCATTGGCTCGAATCGGAACGTAGTCAACTTTCACGTGCCGCACCAGTTTTGCAAGCATTTGCGACGGAAGCAATATTGCATGAAACATCACGCGCACAGTTGATTCAAGGGTTGGTGCTGAAGAGCCGGCGTATAGCGATGACGGGGCAGCCCCCAGACTGTTGCATCCAGCACTGGCGCGCAGCTAAGCAATACATGCTCAAGGGAATCAATGCCGACGGCACAAAAACGGCATGCGGTAGAAGGGTCTGCATGACGGTTTGGAGCAGAGCGCCCATCCGAGAAGTCATGATGTCTGCATTGGCAACACCCCCCCAAACCGAGCTTGGGATGGACACGTCTGCTGCCCGTAAACGATGGGTTGCCCGCGTGGTCTCGGCTGCCAGTGCATATACTGCAACAGTGAGTCGGTGTTTTGGGTGTTTTTGTTTTGGGCGACAGCCTGAAAATGTGCGAGCGAACGACTGAAAGTGAGATGTAGTGCATGCTGCAAGCATCGGTGCATGACGATGCGTGTCACATGGGGGCAATGTCACACAAAGGGTCGGGATGGGTCAGGCACCCAAATCTGCTGCAACTGACTCTGGATGGCAGCAGCCCATGAGGAAGGTTGCGTAACAGCAACACGAGCAACACGTGCAGCAGGGCTAGAGGGCATGCACAAGCAGCGGGCCCACAAGCCGGCTGCAGATGCCAGACGTGCAGACCACAAATCTAGCCGACCAAGTTGCCCTTGCACTGCAACTGATGGGGCCCCGCTCGGCCATTTAAGCAAGCGACGACCCCGTTGATACACACGAGTTGAAAGTCTGTCGAACTGACGGCCTGGAGGCAGAAGTCAAGCCCACAGAGTGCACTGGAATAGACGCAAGCATCGAAAATTCAAGTGGCAAGTAACACGGATGCCATTTGCCTTCTCCACGAAACGATAAACCGTCAACATGTTGCCGCCACCCTAGGTTGTTATTGTTTTGGAGCCCATGCCAAGACTTAGGGGTACTTAGAAATAATTTTTAGTTTTTGGTTTATTATAATCCTAAGAAACAGCTAAAATCATAATTTTTGCTAGGGTTCTAAGTTCAGTATAGAAGATATTGGTTCGATCTCCCTACCGGGAATGCCAAACCACCGACATGGAATTTGAGTCGGGCTCGGCCGCGCGAAACACATGACGTCGGATTTTTGCGGACGTGCCGCAAAAATAAGACGCCAGGATTTGGCCCGCTTCAGCGGCACCCAGAGCGAGCTGGAGAAAACGATGGTTTTAGCTCAGGGCTAAAAGGTCATCGGCATACAGCAAGACATGAAGCCGTGGGGCTGTAGGGAGGAGCCGCAGCGGACCCCAGCACAAACTCGCCCGATCGCAGCCCAACCCATTGATTAGAATGATTAGAACATTAAAAAGGAAAGCGCTTAACACCGCTCCTTGGCCTAATTAAGCCGTTTTCAACACCCCATTGTTCAGAGGCAGAAGATGCAATGCGCACTGCGGCAATGCGTTCTCACACAAAATCAACCAGGCGCCATAATCGACCTGACACTCCGGCGCTGTGCAGCAGGTGGGCTGTCACGAATGCGCAGTATGTGCGAAACCCTTGTCGCAAGTGCAGAGTTTCTTTTAGGGTGTACACCTGCAAGTAAGATCCCCAACGAAAGCCGACCAGAGAAGCATCAAGACTTGGATCAACATGGGGTTAAATCCGATGCAGGATCATGCGCTCCAAAGTTTTGGCGAAACATTTTGTAAGTGTGAGGGCGATATAGTTTCCACGGTCAGCGGTGCATGTGCCCTTCGGAATTGGAAGAACAACGCCATGCTTCCAACACGACTGCACGCATGCATTACATTACATTGGCATGCATTGCAAAATTGCAGTAGAGCATGCTTCCACCATCCCAAGTTGACATTAAGTGCTTCATAAGGTATGTTATCACTTCCAGGGCTTTTGCCAGCAGTGCTATTTCGCAAAGCTGGGTCCAGCACACGCAACGTGAACGGCCGAAAATTTCCATCTCGTTGGGAACAATACGTTGCGTACGGCGGCAAGCTCGTGCGAGATGGCGTACATTGAATTGTGAAGAGTCTAGGAACGTTGAAACACTGGTTGCCCCACCATTTGGCACTTCGTATTGTGGGAAAGCGCGTGGGATGCGAAGACCGCAGTATGGTCAACAGTTCATGGTACAATGCATCCAGGTTTTGGCTGGCAAGCGGTGTGCTTAGACTTGATTGTTGACTCACTTGGGCAAAAGCACTACACGGGAACTCCGTTCCTGAATGACATGCTGTGAGAGAAGTGAGAAGTACATAGAGAGTGGGTAGTGTTACGGAAAAATTATTCAGCACAACGCTGATTGCGAAATGATCGCTGCCGAACAAAGGGCAGCACAGCAAGTCATTACAACTACCATCCTCAGAATTATGGACGTGAATGTCTTGAACAAGCCCTGGAGTCGCGATGGCAACGTTCAGAGCGGCACCGGCATGGTGCGTCGGCGAGTTCCGAGGGTTGCATATGGTAAGGTCGACAAGGCTCAACAAATTGTTCCATTCAGCAGCGCAAGAGCGGTCTGCAGATCTTGGGGGGCATCCATAAAAAGGCCTGGAACCCGAAGATTGCTATAACCGATGAGCACAACGTGAATGTTCGGGTAGGTCGCACGCAGGTCGTGTAGCGAGACGAAAAGACATTGCCAAAATGCCACACGCTCAGGCTCTAGGCAGCCAATATGAGGAGAGTAGTAGCTTGCCGTGGGTGCATGGTTCGATCCGTGAGAAACTACACGCCAAATTTCCACATGATCAGGCAATAAGGCACTGCCAAGCACAAAAGCGACGTCATACGATGCACCAGAAGTGCAGCATCGCAACTGCACTTGCTTTGGGGGCCAACGTACTCAAAAGGTTGATTGTCAGGCAAAGTCGCATCAACTGGTGACTTCGATTCTTGGACCACCAAAACATGACAAGTTTACAAGCAGATGAACGAAGGAACCTTACAAGCCCATCAAAACCGTCGTGCAAACGCCCATTCCTTCTCCAAAGGACATTGCAGTGTAACGACACCAGGCGGAAAGTCTTGGGCGTGTTGGAACCGCCTACCTCCGAGCGCCCCGGACATTTCCCGAACGCCTTTGCAGGGGAAGTCGCATGGGGTGCGAGCTGCACGAAAAGCGGCACGACCCGCAAACCTGCCCTCAGTGCGGGCTTTCTAAGCTTCCTGGGCTGGAACAAGGACAACAAGCCCAATAGGCATTGTCGACAATCATTTGGTGCAACACTTCCACAACTTCGACAATGACCAAAAAATCACGAACATGCTCACGCCCGTCGCTCCTCTGACGCCGCAAGGGCTCGCGTGCATATTCCGGGGCATGGTTCCTTTGGAGCTGATCCGGCGGTTGCGTGGTGGCAATCGCTGTGGGGCTGATCGAGGAGGGCAGGGAGGAGCGAGTGGGGATGGGTGGGGGGATGGGTGGGGGGACGTAGCAGAGCATTGGGGGGGTTGCTTGCCGACCGTCTGTCTCACAATACGGAAGGCGCTCATCAATCAAACACATAGCATTCGAGAGCATTGTGCCTCAATCCACGACCTGGGATCGCAAATCCTGGATTGCTTGCACATTGCAAGATGAAGTCAGGGCGACGAAGGATCCAACTGAATCAACCGTGTTTCACGGTTAGATTCGAGCGGCTTCGACATGCACTGTTTGCTCCATTCGACAGATGCACCAGGGTGGCACTGCGGCGGAGTGCGAGACCGGCTGCGGTGCATGGCTGGTAGGTGGTAAAGCGGGGCGAGCGAACTGCAGTGTACGAGTCCCACTGCAAGAAATAAACCACCACCCAAGAATGCATCACAGAAGAGAGATCAAGAGAGGATCACCAACCTGTCGGATGTCGATTGTAAAGGTTGAAAGCTGGAGGAGGTGTAGAGTGCTTAAAA